GTCGGGACGGTCTCAATGAGCCTGGCCATAATCTCCAGCACTTTCATCTTGGTGGTCTCAGCCTTGGCTCTTGGGCCCCACAGGAACTCGTAGCTTGGAGGATCAGTGCCGGGCACCTGGCGGTACTCCAGGTAGTTTTGCTGCACGAAATCTTTGGTGATGAGCTCCTTGGGCTCCCCGAAGACGGCGTGCCTCCTCCCAGCATAGACCTCCAGCAGGCGGAGGTGTTTCCAGATCTCCTCCTCGGGGGCGCGGTTGCCCTTCATGAAGATCACGCTCAGGATATTCATGAGGAGACCCATCTTGGGCACACTCCTATCCCTGCTCAGAGTTCCCTCACTGGGGAGGTCCAGCAGGTTGATAAAGGCATAGGATTCATTGCTGGAATCGACTTCCTTCACCTCGAGGCCAAAGACCAGCTCCATGTGCTCAGAGGCTCTCCTGAGGACCTCAGGGAACTGCTGCTTGCACTTCTCGTTGACCACCTTTATCATTTCAGACCGCTTAATGCACTCATTCATTTTATACTTCTCCAGCAGGAACCGCACCAGCTTGTTTGTCTTCTTGGTCAGATGATCTTTGCGAACAGTCAGAGCGGACGGTGCTGCACGGCCTGAGGTGCTTGTGCTCTCCTCACCTAGGCTCTGGGCAACTTCATCAGGTCGTGGGCATGAGACACTTGCCTCAGAGGAATGAGCGGCTGAGGCTCCCTGAGGTTCCTGGATAGGGCCAGCAGCAAGGGAGCTCGGGGGAGAACCCCCAGAAACAGGAGCAGAGGGGCAGTCTTCTGCTGCTGCTGCTGCTGCAGCGGCCTGATCAACTCTGAGACGCTCAGTCTCATTCTCAGTCCCATCTCCACCCTGGTGGTGTTTGCCCGGGGCAAGGGGCTTACGCTTCTGACCCTGAGGCATGATGACACAGTTAGGCACAGCAGGCACCAGTGTGGGCAGAGTAGGTGATGCCAGTACCTGGAGGAGGAAGAGTGACATGGTGAGTGCACCTTTGCAGGGGGAATCTCCTTGCCATTAACCAAGGCCGCCTCTACAGGTCTGAGGGCAGTCAGTGCTCCAGGGACCCACAGGGCTCCTCTCTGAGTAGCCTGGCTCCTCAGAACCCTGCAGAGCCAGTTAGACAGTACCCAGGACATAGCTAGACAGCCCTACCTGGACTTACTGGGGTGACGGCAGGGCCTGGTAAGGGGAACCATTGTTTCTGGGTTTGGGAAGTGCTTTCGAGTTCACATTCAGGATCATCGTATGGATTTTGACAAGACACACCCCTCCTCCTCTCTCCTCTGCTGCTCTCATGTAGACTCTTCAAACCCAAGACCAGCATCTCTCTGAGGCCCACCTTGAAGGACAGGAGTTAAGGTTCTGAGGTGACTTCTGTGTTTGGGGATGGTGCTCCAGGCACTGATCCTGCGTCTCAGCAGAAGGGCACTCTGCTGCTGCTGCTGCAGCCTGATCAACTCTGAGACTCTGAGTCTCATTCTCAGTCTCATCTCGACCCTGGTGGCGTTTGCCCTGTGCAAGGGCTTACACGTCTGATCCCGAGGCATGATGACACAGGTGGGTCACAGCAGACCCCAGTATGGGCAGTGTAGGTGATGCTAGCTCCTGGAGGAGGAAGAGTGACATAGTGAGTGCAGCTTTGCAGGGGGACTCCACCTTGCCCTTCACCAAGGCAGCCTCGGCCAGTCTGAGGGCAGTCAGTGCTCCACAACACAAAGGGCTCCTGTCTGAGTAGCCTGGCTCCTTAAAACCCTGCGGAGCAGGTTAGACAGTACCTAGGACACAGCCATGCAGCCCTACCTGGACTTACTGGGGTGACGGCAGGGCCTGCTAAGGGGGAACCATGGTTTCTGGTTTTGGCAAGTGCTTTCGACTTCACATTCAGGGTCATCGTGTTCATTTTGACAAGACACACCCCTCCCCCACTCCCCTCTGCTGCTCTCAAGTGGACACTTCAAACCCAAGACCACTATCTCTCTGAGGCCCACCTTGAAGGACAGTAGGTAAGGTTCTGAGGTGTCTTCTGTGTTTGGGGATGGTGGTCCAGGCACTGATCCTGCTCCTCACCCTGACACCAATGACCTTGAGGTCCTCCTTCTGCGCATCTCCTGACACCACCTTAGGATAAAGCCTCACCCCCATGACGCTCACACAAAATGAGAAAGCACGTCGGGCTTTAAACCTGCCAGGGCCCTCCTATGCCAATGTCCCCTCTGCTGACCGGCTGCCATCCAGCCCCTTAGGCCCAGCGCCAACCCCCATGATCCCTGGGTACAATGTGAGAAGGCACCTCGGGCTTTACACATGCCAGGGCTCGCCCATGCCAATGCCCCCTCTGTTGGCCTGTTGCCAGCCAGCCCCTGAGGCCCATCTACAACCCCCATGATCTCCAGGGACAGTGTGAGCAAGCTCCTCGTGCTTTACACCTGTGGGGACCCTCCTATGCCAATGTCCCCTCTGCTGACCTGCTTGCAGCCAGCCCTTCAGGCCCAGCCCCCACCCCCATGAACTCCCAAAGCAAAAGGAGAAAGCATCTCGGGCTTTACACTGCCGGGACCCTCCCATGCCAATGCCCCCTCTGTTGACCTGCCGCCAGCCCCTTAGGACTGGGAACCCACCCCATGATCTATCGACCCTAAGGGACAAACATTCCGGGCTTCACACCTGCCTGGAATCGGCCATACCAATGCCCGTCTGCTGACTTGCTGCCAGCCCCTGTGTCTCAGCCCCCACCCCCACGATCTCCCGACGCTAAGGGAAAAAGCACCTCGGGCTTCATATCTGCCGGACCCTTTCATGACAATGTCCACTCTGCTGACGTGACACCAGCCCCCGAGGCCCAGCTCCTACCCCCATGATCTCCAGCCCCTCCGTGAGAGAAAGCACATCGGGGTTGACACCTGCCGTGACCCTCCCATGCCAATGTCCCAGGGCTGACCTGCTGCCAGACTCTTAGGCCCGGGCCCCCACCCCTACGACCCCCTGATGTAAAGTGAGAAAGCACATTGGGCTTTACGCCTAGGGCACTCCCATGCAATGGTGGGCTGTGATCTGCGTGGCCCCAGTTCTCGGGTCTGGGGTCCCGTCACTCCTCACAAGAGTCCTATCTTCACTGTGTAGATCTCTCCCTTTGCTGAGCGGAGCAAGAGTCCACCAGCCTCAGGCTGTGGCCTGCATTCCCTGAGACATCGCGTGCGTGCTCGCGGGGGAAGCTGAACGAATTGAGACCTAACTGCCATGCTGAGGCCTCCAGGCATAAATTGCGATTGGGGGCGTGGTGGAGCCCTGTGTGGCTTCCTCTTTTCGGGGGTGTGGGGGAAAGGGGTTTGGAGTTGTTGGGGCATGTCCTCGCTCTCCTACCTGAGTACACCTCTCACCTGGATGCCGACCAGACCAGGGACTCCTCCTTCTGCTCGCCCTACGCCACAGCCCTGGGACAAGGCCTCAGTCTGGGCAGTCTGGCTACAGGGAAGTTGGGCGGGGCGGCGAGGGGCAGGGTCAGGGGAGGTGTAAGGGGGAGGGGCCTGGGGGGCTGAGGTCTGGGGCAGAGTCCCCTAGGGCTGGCCCAAACATGGGCCTGGCATCGGATCTTAGCATGTCCTGGGACTTCTCCTTCTGCTCAGTAGGAAATATTCTGGGTGTGGCCCGAGCAGCCATTTGTGGGGCCTCCCTAGCCTGACGGCAGTGGGTGATCCCCTCAGTCCTCTTGCCCCATTTTCCGTTGACTTCTTATGGGTGTTGGTGCGCCTCCCATGTGTCTACCTGAGGCTGACCCCTCACATCAAAGCCCACCACTTCCTGAGACTACTGATTCCTGTGCAGCAATGCCTCACCTGGTCACTCCAGCCTGAGGCTCCCTCAGAGATGACTGCAGGTGTCATAATCCTGGTGGCGCCAGTGTTTTGGGTTGGGAAATTACCCTGTGTTCTAGGAGGCCTGCAATCCAATCCTTTTCTAAATTAAATGTTTCCTTTTCTGACCTAGTCCCTGTAGAACCACATGGTGAAAGTTTGTTGGTCATTAGCCTGGTAATTGTGCCTTGGGCCTCTCTTGGCTGACATCAGTGTTACTGCTAAAAGTTTCTGGAATGAATGTCTATTGTCATGTGCAAATACTGTGATCCTTCCTATTCTATTTTAATCCACGCCTGGTATTGTATTCATGTGATCATTTAAAAAGCCCAGTCGTCGTCTACATACAAAGTTTCTGGTGGTCATTGTACAACCTCTGGACTCACAGTGTCACAGCCAACCCAAACTTTAATCCTGTTACTACCCTCATGGCCCTGGCTGTTGTCTATGAGGCGCTCCCTCAGGTTCTTTCAGTGACACTGGAAATTCTTTGTCCCAGGGCGCCCTGGAACAAACTAGGGCCAAACTTTACAACCTTTCCTCCAACTGTTCCTGTCTTCTACAGACCTGTCTCTACTTCAGGGCAAGATTCCAGCTGACCCCACACAATTACTAATCAGTACAAGCTTAGTGCCTCTCAGTGGTTTCTCATTTTTTTACTGTTATTGTTGGTATTGTTTTGTTTATGACTTCTTATTTTTTCCACAATTGATTTAGGGCCCAGGGAACAGTAACCCACATTTGGTTGTCATCTTGGAAGCTATGGGTAAGGCACTTAATTTGTAATTAATTTAAGAATGTTCATCTTTACAATATTCTGTTCCCTTGAATATATTGTACTGCTCTATTTGGGACTTTTTTACCTAACTCTCTCAGTAAACTTTTACAGTTGCATCCAGAAAGATCTTGTACATAGATGGCCAAATAGACAGACGCTGTGCCGACTACCTCCCAGGATCACAACAAAATTACAAATAATTTATAAGATATTCAACCTCGGAAGTTCCCTGGACACTAGATGAACAGAACCTCTAAATGAAGGACATAAAGAGGAGGCCACATCGAGTCTGGTAGGAGGGGTGGAGATGAGAGAGGGCGAACCCTGTGAGGGTCACCTCAGTGGTGGGAAGGCTTCTCCGGTTGTGGGCGAGACCCTCTGGCCCCACACCGCGCTCAGCAGCCCAGAGTTACATTGCCAGGAAGAGGAGTTCTACGATAGCTGGAAGGAGAAAATAGTGAGGACTCTCTTTGCTCTGCTCGGTGAGGCTGGGGGCATCTGGAGAAACAGTGGAGCCGGCAAACCAAATTGCTCACTGGCAAGCACTCACCGGTTCCTGGTGGAGGGAGTGGCTTTGTGAGTGGGGCCCAGGAGCCTCCAGGAAGGACTGAACTGAGTGACTTTGGCACGGGAGCTGGAGGTTTGTGTTCCAGTTGTTCCCCTGGTGTGGAGCTTGCACGCGGGTGGTGAACAGGGGGCCACCATTTTTTTAGGGCTGGTCCCTCCCACAGAGGCTCGGGTCTGGGACTACATTGGTGTGCTGGAATTGGCGCAGCAGTGCGTGTGCGCGCGCGTGCGCGTGCACGTGCACATGTGGCCTTGGATTCCCACCCTCCATATTGTTTGTGCTGCATAGGCAGGGAAACGCCGGGCAAGCACGCTTCAACTACAACAGACCTGGAAGTGCGTGACTCGCCTTAGGGCCCTGATTTCCACACTGCGCATTCAGAGTTGTCTTGCTGGCAATTGGCTATCGGGCTGTTCGGTCTGATTTTTGAGTGGCTGATTGGGACAGGCTGAGACAGGGAGTTTTCCTGGGAGTGTAGGGCCACGAGCTGTGTGCCTGCATGATTCAGCCGGGGCTTTCCGGGCGAGTTTGTGTGGGTTGGCTGCTCATGCAGGAGTGCATGCTGCTCTGACTTGGTGGGGAACACTGACCACACCCTGTGGTGACTTGGGGGACTGCCCCGCCCACCTAGAGCTGTGTTGCCAGAGACACCCTGAGCCCCTGGTCCCTAGTTCCTACCTCTGCAGGCCACAGAGGGTTTTTTGCAGCAGCAGACGGCCCGCAACAACCTGTGAGGATTTTTGGTGGTGAGCACAGTTCCAAAGCACACAGCAACTAATTGTGGGAAGCTTACTGCAAGTCTAGAGGGAGGCCGGCGCATGACGCACGGAGCCCTTCCCCCCAGCAGCTGGTGCTGAGTCGCCCAGAATCGCTCTATTGCTGAGCAAGTGGTCTGCAGTGCAGATTACAGTGGGCAGAGAGCCCCTCCATTTTTTGTTCTTTTTCCTTTTTTCTTTTAGGTGATCTAATACATCGAAGCAATCAGAGTGACAGCCA